AAAAAAAAAAAAACAAAAAAAAAAAAAAAAAAAAAATCAAACAACAATTTTCAAATTATTCGTTACTCCGTCTCGTTAAATAGATTATTGTGTGTAATACTTTATTAAGCAGGCTCGTGGCAATGCCACTGACGATCATGAAATGAATGACTTGCTCATAAATAATTTTTAACTGCGCGGGTCACAACAATACTTAAAAGTTATAACTTACAATAATATTAGTAACATAATATTAGTAAATTATTGATAAAGTTTATAATACTCGGTCATATATATTAGTTAGTATACATATACGCGAATGAATATTTGTTTTCTATAAAAATTCGTGGTTTTACGAATATCGGATGGTAGTGAGATCTTGATTTAAATTAATAATTTTATAAATACGTACGATAAGATTTGTGCGCGAAATCTCAGTATTATTGACAATAGCCTGTAATTTCGCAATTTCATCAGCGTCTACCTTTTTGGACTCTAGCACATCTTTCAATTCTCGATCCAATCTTTCATTCTATATTGAAATAAATAAATAAATAATAAAGTTTCTAAGAGAACGTGTGCTGTAAATGCAAATTTTTCGTTTGTATTAATGAATTAATTACGTTCTCTTCCGCGACCCTGAGTTCCTTATTCTTTTGCCGAATTATGTCATCTATTTGCACTTTATACATCTAAAATATTTAACGAAATTTAAAGAATTTTACCATATTTTTTTTATTTTTTTTTTTTTTTTTTTTTTTAACAAACAGCGATACAAACTTGCGAAGTGTTTTCCACTTTCTTATATTTACTCTTCAATTGCTCGATGTATTCCTCCAATTGCTTATTCTGCTTTTGGAATTGATTCAGCACCATTTCTTTTTCCTAGAAAGCGATCTCATAAACATTATACAAGTTAATAAGTTGAAGTCTATGTAAACTAATATAAATTGTTCCTTACAATTATATATCGAATTAAGGAAGAAAATATAACGAGCAAAAAAGAATCCCTTTTTTTTCTTTTCTTTTCTTTTTTTCTTTTTAATCACTACCACTTTAAATGCAATGCTATATTCTCTTTATCAAAATCTTTCTTACTTTGCTTTAGAGTAATTATTTATACTTTTACAGAAAAATAATAATCAGCAAAAACTGAAAGCCTTAAAAATACATTCGCAATCTCGAAATACGTTCACTTGCTATCTCCATTGCCGTGGTGTGAATCGTTTACTTTAGCGTACTTTAACAAATAATTACGAATCGTATGAATATTTCTTATGTACGTAGACGGACGGTTATAAAATTAATTAGCCAATGCCGTCAATGAATTTACACGCGCCAAAGTAATAATAAACGGAATAAAATTAGGTAAGCTTTCGATTGTTTTTCGAAATTTTACGCAGTCCCGGCAGTATCCAGACAATTAAGAAATTCATCCTAGCTAAGCGGTCGATCGACCTCGTACGGACCGCATTCTCGTTTTTCAGGAGCATGATCTCTGACTCCTGGACTATTGTCATGCCAATATTCTCGACAGGTATATTAGAGGATTTCAGCCAATGATGATCTAAATACTTGTTCCTGAACTGTATGAGCGTCGGCTTCTTGTAGCTCATCAGCTGGGTACTTGGGCCTAACGCGCTGCCCTGAAAACAAGACGATAACTTTCATTACTTTCATTACAGCTTCGTCGCATTTGAATACAATTGCCGGTTGCTCACATTGAAGGACTTGCTGCTCCCCTCCTCAAAGGCATTCTCGCCATCGGTTTGATTCTGATTCACAGTATCTGAAAAAAAAGCACGGTTAATGCCTCGGATCGTCCATCCAATTGCCCGGAGTACATATTTAATATTCTATTCTATTAGTATTGTATTTACATTATGTGATTGTAAATTAATTTATTTCGTAATTCTAAGTATTAGTCGCGTTCTTCCATCCGCATCGAATTCTAATATTTTCAATTACTTACGCACCGATATTTTTCGACTGCGTGTACACGGTTAATCTGTTGTTTTATAATCAATGAGATTTCGGTGTGATATTTAATTGTGGTATAGAAAATATTTATACGAATGACAATATTCTTGTCGAGGATAAATGGAAACAAGTTAAAATTGGTCAAAACGGAAGAAAGACATTAGTCGACATTGCTAATTACTCGGTTCCCGAGGCAACTTAACGACATAAATTTACAATTTTAAATTATTATTTTTTAACGTATATTAGTCATGTTGAATTGATACGACATTCGGAGAAACCGATATTTTTTCGTTTAAAAATAATTTTAAAATGTACCGCTTGACCTAGAAATCTTGTTTGAAGCAAATATCTTATACGCACGGGCTAATTCTTAATTTTTCTTACAAAATAATAAAGAGTTTATAATAGTTTTAAGAGCAAATTGAAAATTGTAAATACTTTTGTATCTATATTTTATTGAATCAAATAAGAAAATAAGATACGACTATTTCAAATTTGCTTATAGTTAATTTCTGTTCTCATTTGTGCGTCGTTTATAAATTGTAAAGTCGTAAGCTACAAGAATAATAATATAAATAAAAAAAAAAAATGAAATGAAAGCAAAGAAGAAGAAAAATCTTGAATCTTTTATATTTTTATTTTATAATAACTTTCGTGTTAAACATTTTTAAAAACTGCTTCGACAGAGTACTTTGCCGTGAACGTAACTTAATTTATCATACAATTAACCTTATTCTAAATTTTTTGTTTTTTGAAAGTAAATACTTCTAAGCGTCGGTATTGATATTACGAGCTAAAAAATTCAAATAAAATGAATAGGATATATTTGACATTATCAAGTATAAGATTTGTGTCGTTGTTACTTACCAACGACAAGTGATGAACAATTACTGTCCAAATTTGAACATTTAATTAATTTGTCACTCTCTGCATTTACATAATCGAATTTAATCTGAAAGTCATAATTTACATTATGAGACGATGCTCGCAGTCGATTTTACATTCGTTCGCTTACGTTTCTCAATTGATTGAATTGCTCGTTGGTGAGTTTCAATGACTGATAGCCGTGGAGTTCTTTTCTAACAATATCAAGCTCCTTTTCCGCGCAGGATCCCAAACTGATAAGGTGATTGATAACGTCGTCTTGACAAGCATTTTTTAATACAGTTGAATTCCAAAAATTTTTATCCACAATATAATCGCCAAGCTCATAAACGTTTTTTTGATAATCGGGACTCAGTGAAAATATCTCGAATCCGTAATCAATAAAGGACATATCGTTAAAGAACTTTACTAATGGATATTTACAGAATTAAAAGAAAAAAATTATTAAAAAAAAAAATTCTATATTAATAATAAAAAATTTAAAAGAAAAATGTATGTGGGATTCATTAGCAAGATTTACCGGATACTAACGACGCGCTTCTTTTGTTTAAAAGCCATAGTAACATAAACGTGCCGATTAACGTACCTCGACAATTATATTAATTGCTGATTTATTTAATGTTTATTTCCTCGGGGCATAGATTAACAAATGTATTTTAAACGCTTGACCGTGGATATTCGAATTTTAATAATATAATACACCCGGCCGAACATGGTTAAACGAAGTAACTCGAATTAAACTAATGGAAAGCTAACGACCACGAAATCTAAACATATTGCTAAGGTTTTCATTAATAGAGGGAGAAAATCGCTTAATTAAAATTACGAAAATTATTACTATCTTACAGCTACCCACCAACTCCTACCTACAATACACTTTGTTTGCCACTTAAATATTAAATATACAATCGTAAAAATAACCATGTAGACACAAGAATTTTTTACAGTAAAATATTTTATTTCTCATCAGCAGCCATTGCGATGTAAATACAAAATTGCTAAGTCTTTTTTTACAATATAATACTTTTATAAGAATTTTTTCGATCACGTCAAATATAAATTAAGTTAATTTATGCGACCGATGGGGTGTGCGGCGATTCCTTCGTAACTCTTAAAAGCACGCGTTTACAAAGAATTTTCTTAAACAAAAGCTTCGACTAATTTTACCTGCTGCGAGCTCGATCGATATATACTATTTAATTCGAGAGCAACATTTTATAATAAATCCAATAAATCCTTTAGCCTATAACAAATAGTTTGCCCTCGTTTATTCTTATTGCTATAGGAATGTTATTGTACATACAATCTTACAAATCTTATAAATCATCAATCCTCGTTCATTCTTATTGCTACAAAAATATTATTGTACTTTTCATTTATAAGTTATAACAGTAGTAATCAACGAGGCCTAATGATTGCTAAGGATTTTTTATAATAATGCTGCTGTCTAATCGTGAATCAACTATTATTCATCGATGTCGCACCAAGTAATTATTCCAAATTTGTTTCTTCTAAAGACAATTGTTATTAAGGTGCCAGCATTTAGGAGTTACGCTTAGCATTTATGAATTGCCGCACACTCCATCGGCCGCACATATTAATTTAATTTATATTTGTTAAATAAAATTATTTTCCTTGTTCCTCTGGTGATTGGGTACGCGCCCCCTGGCGTCTCCTTGACTAGTCACGCAAGGAGCAACGAGATTTCGCGCGTATATTAAGTATCGAGTAAATTAATTGGCCCGATCCTTTGCGACTCCCCTCCTGCCCCTTTAGGCATAGCCGCGTAAAAGCACCGAGGATGGTACTTCATGCGCGACGTTATTGTTATACAATTTTAAGAAAAGCAGCAACGTCGCGCACAAAGTGCCATCCCCGGTGCTTTTACGAGGTTATGCCTAAACGGTAAGAGGGGAGAAGGGAAGTCACTTGTCGTCTCGGGATGAGTAATCGACAGGCGACCAATCAGAGATGCAGAACGCCTTGGTCATGATGACTGAACTGATGATGATGGTGAGTCTGATGGTGCGATGCACCTGTCGCGTCGTCGTGAAGATTAACTCCTGTTAAGTCCACGATTTCGTCAGCGTCTTCGTCGCTGCCCGTGGCTGCACTTTGCATCGACTGCTGACTGCCGGATGACAGTTGGCTGTTGCGCGAAAAGGAACCCCGACGCGGCATTGCCAAGGCTGCTCTCTGATTTGCAGGCTTAACCGTAATTATCAAGTTCGATGAATTAGCAATCATCATATCTGTAACCTGCAAGTGATTTTTGCGATTTATTATTTTGTATCATCTTGTATCTATTTTGTAGCTTCTTTATATTCACATTTTCAATGCCCGCAATGCGTGATAGTATACTCTAATTGGATGAGAAATGTAGGATACATTAAGGAGGAATGAGTAATCAAGTTTAAACAATGGCCTCCATATCGTTTACTTAACAAAGCATGTTTATCGCGGTCTGTCTCAAAGTACTAAAATGCATAGGTATTCGCAGGCACTTTCATGAAAACCGATAAAAAATGTCTTGTAAGACCGTAGGGACTTTGGACTTTTATGTTGCATTGGATTCTTGCAAGAGTACAAACTTTAGCATAAGACGATCGCTGTCGTCTACAAGCGTCTGGGTCACTTCCTCTTGAGGAACGGTACAAATATAACCGAGGTGATAAATAAAGTGTACCTGATCCAGAGTTTTGCCTGCAACCTCGATGCCATTAACTTCCAGCACCTCGTCGTTAACTGCTAATAAACCCGTTCCCTCCGCAAGGCCACCAGGTACGAGTCTACTTATGAAAACACCAGGAACCTTCTCGAAACTACCTGTGGAACCTACTCTGAAACTCTCGCCATCCTTAATATAAAAACCAAGAGGCTTGTCTAGACCATGTTTTAAAAGTTTCACACGTCTGCATGTCTCTGGTAAAATATCAACATCAATTATCGCCGAGACCTACATAGTACATTAGATTTATAAAATTAATACAAATTTTTTATAGGTTATAAAATTTGATATCGAATTTCTGTACGCTTACTTGTCTAAAATCATGAGGATTTGATATTGCAAGAGGTTTTGGTTTCCCAGGCGTTCCACCAAGTATACTCGATATTATGTTTTTTGGCTTGATTGTATTATAACCATTCATATCGTCGAAGCCATCACCTGCAACAATTACTAGATGCAATCCGATGCACGATATATTATCGCAGTTCTTTGAGTAAAGACTAATTGTCAGTAGCAAAGATACTTATGGCTAATAAAGATACGCACCTTGCCTCTGTATCAAAATTCTTAAAAGTGGTCTAGCAGCGACAAGTGCCCTAGCTAAGTTATTGTCATTATTAATCGGTAAGAGGTCCCCGTCCATAGGATCAGTATACCAAATATTGAAATTCAACTCTGGACCTATATCGTGCCTTTCGGCCAATAATTTTCTGAAGTCCTCGTAACTGGTAGACTCATTTCGATTAACGGAAAATCTTATGATATCAGCATCGAACTATCAGTAACAAAAGATCAGGTAACATTAATTAGACGTGTAAAGACGAATGTATTGCAAGGGACTGGAAAACAAGATCAGGAGCTCGTATCATCCACTTACCTTACTCTTAACAGCAACGATACTGCTATCAACCTGATGGAGTTTATTCTTGGACATTTTTCCAACTTTGAGGGACACCGTTCCGTCACAGTCGTCTTGGCAACAGCCTGTCGGGAAAATGTAGAAAGTGTGAAAAATGCAAAACAGCTGCATATGCGATTGTAATGACGAGCGCACCGTCGGTCATAATGAACAATAGTGCCGAAAATACACGTTCAAACAATTCCAAACGCTATTAATACATAAACACAAAAATATTCTTCGCGATTACCCACGCGTACTATGTCGAAGCCCTACTAACGATCACCAAGTCAGGTTAGTCTCCTTCTTACGCGCGGCTACCAAATGCGTGTCCCCTACCCCACTTCCATCACTGTTACTACCACCTCCATTACCACCACTACCACCTTCACCACCTTCTTCACTACCTTCTTCACAACCTTCTTCTACACCGCCACCAACAGCAGCACCACCACTACCAGTACGACCGTCAATCCGAATGGTTCGATGCAGAAGCGCATTTGCCTCGCGATGGAAATAATGAGCACCGTGTCTCCCCCCCCCCACTCTTACTCTGCCCCTGTGACCGTCTATCCACCTAAACGCCACCACCACCTCCTCTCTCGCTCTCCACCGATCTCCCACCCTGTTCGACCGTCCCGCTACCAACGGACAACAACGACGACAACGATAATGACAACGACACAACGATAACGACGACGACACAATAACGACAACAACGACAATGACAACGGCACAACGACAACAACTACGGTAAGAAGCGATTGTCCCTCACCTCGATTATCCTAGATCGGAGATTAAAATTTTTTAATATGCCAAGCACATACAAAAAGAGTTGTCGTTATTCCCTTCAACCGGGAAATAATCTTACCGTTGGTGCGAGTTGATGGAGAATCTCTTGACTCGCTCTCTCTCTCTCTCTCTCTCTCTCTCTCTCTCTCTCTCTCTCTTCCTATATATATATCTATATATTTCTCCGGGGACGTGCGTAATTTCAGGGCGCGATGCAGGTGTCCCCGTAGCTACGCGCACGACTAATATCGCTTGACCTCGGCGTTCGCTAGCATGAATCAAAACAGCCGCATTTCGATGAAATGAGTGTGTTGGCGTCAGTGCTCGGCATGACGTCACGGACACCTGCTCGCGCTCTCTCTCCTCGACGTCCAAGTCAGCCGTTGCGCCCGTGTGCCGAAGACGTATCGCGCTGGTGATGGTAGCAGCGACCAGCGACCAGCGACCAGTGACCAGCGACCAGCGACCAGCGACCAGCGACCAGCGACCAGCGACCAGGGATCAGCAACCAGCAACCAGCAACCAGCAACCAGCAAACTCACCAATTAGCCTCCAGCTTTTCCGAGCTACTACGAGCTACGGCGGTGCCTTACCACAAAATCAACAGCCACGCACCAACATAATAATGACCGGGAACACTCGCCTCCTCGTCCGGTCTCGGCCTCTCCGTCGAGCTCTCAACTTAGCCCCCCCCCCCCCCGCGCCCCCCCCCCCCCCCCCCCCCTGCCACTGCCACTGCCACCCACACTTTGTCGTGATCCGGGGGGCTACCGCCGTGAAGAGAAATCGCCGTGAGGTGGCCGTGGGCTCCTCGCTAGCACCGCTGGGCCCCGACTCTCGCCTCTTCCCCGATGCACTACACACATCACCGATGCTTCGACGCGTATTGTGCCCCCGCGAACTCAGAGGGGCGGATATTTCGATGCGGAATGCGACGACGGACTTTCTTCCTCAAATCCCGCTTATCGTTTATCATCGATTATTGATGCGGCCACTACTGGCGTGTCTCTTGACGACTTTCCTTCTTTCCTCCGCCTCGCTGCTGCCGTTGCTGCTGCCGTTGCTGCTGCCGTTGCTGCTGCCGTTGCCGCTGCCGTTGCCGCTCTACGTGCCACCCCACCTTAAACACAGCCGACATCAACACGGACGTGCATTCCGATTCCAGCCTCGGCTACGTGTGCGTGCCTGCATTGCGTGCATGCACGCTCCGAGGTAGCTCAGCCTTATGTATTGGAACGTGGAATGCTTTACTAAATTACCGGCCAACGAGCCAATACACCTTTTCCACCTCTCCACACCCCCCAGTCCCACTATCCCGTCATTCCCCTCCGCCACCATCGCCGCTGCCGTTGCCGCTGCTGCCGCCGCCGCAACCATCACCGTCACCGTCACCGTCACCGTCACCATCACCTCCAACCCCCACCACGACCACTTTCTCCTCCGAGCCTGCCACCTTCGCCACCTCCGCTACTACCTCCACCGCGACTACGACGACGATGAGGACGAGGATCGGCGACAATGCCAATGACAACGACTACTCGCAACGGTGTAGTACCGCAATCGCGAACCTTCTTACCCGCGCCTGCATTATTCTTCCAATACGAAAGGTTAAAGCGTTATTGGGGGATATAGGGACGGCGCAGTTGCTGCCGCCACTGGAACGACCGCAGCTGCCGATGCAGACGTACGAGGACGTGTGTCTCACGGCGCAAAGAAAAAATTTTCCGAACGCAAGTCATTATCAACGTGTCGACCTTGTTTTGGTTCTTTTTGTTTTCTTTCCATCGTCTGCCCCGACACTTGTCATTTGCTTTTAATTGCATGAACGCCGTCCTGCTAATGCTTGTACCAACGTAAATTACCGAGCTTATAAAGAAAGAAGAGCGCCAGGTGCGTGGGTTGGTGGGATGGGGGAGGGGGAATGGAGAGGAATGGGGATTGTCTCAATTCGCAATATTTAAATCGTTAAGTCATAACGATCTTAAGTCTTGCTTCGCACAAATCCCTTTAAATTATCTAATGAACTTTATTTATTGAATTTTGATAAATTGTCGATGAGCCGTAGATCGGAATTTTCACGGCCTTCTCCTACTTATCGTGTGTAACGATCGAATTGTAATGTTGCCTTACTTGGCAATAATTCTTCGCAGCTAAATTAAGGAATTGTTCCAAGTATGTCAATGGAAGATTGTTTCGCGGATAATTAATTATCGCTTATATAAATAAACAAAGGTGTAGGAATGCAGACTCGTGTCTGCGTATTTACGTAAATATTGATTGAATTTTCGTTCAAATGCGTGCGTGTAAATTATTGTAAAATTATTCTACACTACTCTCCTTAGATAATAATGAAAGTAAAAAATTATGTAGATAAATGTCGTTGAGAGCAGCAGAGTTGTAGTATTATAAATATTGGAATAATTACTACCGTGCATGGAATGTAAATCGAATTACCTTCCAATTTTCATCGATCGTATTGGAGTTTCCTATATCTATGATTAAGGGAATAAAGTTTTAATAAAAAGAAAGCAATGATCTTTAATATAACAAAACCTATTATCTCTCGTCTCTATCATGAATAACCTACAATTACATCTACATTTACATCTGCATAGATAATCGACTATAAAATCATAACGCTTCCATCGATCCTAATAATTTCATAAGTTGCGTTTAACTATCGCAACTTGTGGAAAGTCAATATTTCAAACTTTTCATATATATCTGTTTATGCCAATAAAAAATAATTCTAAAACGACGGCCATCGTTATTATTATTATTATTGTTATTATTATTGTTATTATTTAATTTTATTTTTTATTTATTTATTTTTTTTTTTTCATTACAGTGAATTATACATTTTGTATAATAAATAAATCTCAATTATTGGACGATAATCTTGACAATTTCTTAAAATTTCAAAATACCAGCAAAATTAATGTAAATAGTTAAAAATTGAAAAACCATAGATACATTTGTCATAAACGATTCCCATTGTTTTCTGTTATTAGCAAATTTTTATGCAATTTATTCTACAGAGCACTTTTTTTTTTAACTTTTTCATGACAAACAATGAGACGAATGGTTTACAAGTAAACAAAGACTTAGTAACAAAGACAAGCGTGAATTTTATATTGAAACAAATCAATTCCACAGTTTAATATGTATCTAATAATAGGCTTATATATCAATTGGATCATGATGCATTTTGATATTTCAATATATCACTATTTATTTTAAAAATATTTTTTATTTAAATTCGAATAAGTTTTTACAACTTCTTAAAATGTTTTTAATTTTTAATGTTGAAAATGATAACAATGACTACTACTAATGGATAAAGATTAAAGTCAACGTATAATAGTATGAATAATCAATGTTCACAAGGTATACAACTTTTGCTTGTATTTTACATATAAATTAGTAATTATACTATAAACATTATTCCTTATCTTTTTGTTAAGATAATTGTAAGATGACACAACGATTATAAATTAGGTAAATTATTTTTGGTAAATTATTATACATAAACTTAATTAATAGTCTTAAAAATTAAGAAGCTAATGAAATAAACAATTTTCATGGTGGAATACAACAGAATGCAGGATAACTATACAACATATTCAGAATGCGAATAGTTAAAGAAAAATATTTGAAGATGCATAAATCTTAAATTAAAACTTACTTTATTATTAATTTTTCTTATATAAATTATAATTACTTTGCATCGGTAAAAAGTATAAATATATATAGTAGGAGGAAATTTTGTCTAAATTTGTCGAATATATGTATTTACGAAATTCTTTGTGACATAAACGTTTTAGTAAGACACTTTTTGATGATATAATTATCTAGCTTGTATCTGATAATAAGTCATATAAAACCATCTCAATTTATTTATTACTAAAAATATTTTGTAAAACAGATCAATATATGCTACAAAATACTTCATTTAATAATATTTATGCAAATCGTGTAAATTCTCAATTTTTCAACACTGATAAGAACAAATTTAATCATATTCTAACATTGATATTAAATGTACATTGGTACAAGTTCGTTCGCTTATCGATTTAGAATTAGACTTTGTATAAGCATAAATACAAAGCACCAATACAATGGTTGAAATCATAATAATATATATTGACATTTACAGTACAGCATATACACATGTAAAAAAACCAGTTTTACAATTTATATATATGTATATATATATATATATATATATATATATATATATATATATATATATATACATACATACATTATATGGCGCAATATGTGCCAAGTAATTTGTACATTGTTTTTTTATATATTTTTTTTTTTTTTTTTTTTTTTTTTTTTTTTTTTTTTTTTTTTTGTAATAATAGAATAATAACAAATTAATTATGCATCGATGCCATTGTTTGAAATGCTTAATTACAAGGAAAAACATAATATACAAATCTTATTCTTATATAACATAATATTTTCTACTTATTACTTGTAAGATGCATTCTTAACGTTATAGAAAGCAGTTGTTAAAACAAATAAATTTCGGATTTACATCTTACAAAGATTTGTTAAATGACTCGATGAATCTTTGAACACATAAAATTATAGTAATAACATTAAATACTAATTAAACTATGTTTTTTTTTTGGCCCATCCAACGCATAGGCATTTTGGAACATAAATTTAAGTTTGTTCGTTTGATAAATTTACGTTTCAATTTTTGTAATAAATTGTATCTTGTAAGCCAATGCAAATACAACAAGAAATTAAAGTAATCTTATATGACTAGGGATTACATAATGTCTTGCATACGAAAGCTTCTTTTAGAACAGAATTTCAAGCATTCGTTGGGTACTTTTCTTTCTCTCCACGTTAAGCTTTTAAAAAAAATTTCGGAACAACAGTTAATTATAGTCTTTTGAAAAATGCGTCATAAGTTTAAAGTATACATTGTTGAGTGCTTAATTAAAATTTCAGCTAACACTAATTATTAACGTTACGACAATTGAATTGAATACAAACAGAGCGAGCACATTATTTATTTAGTGATTGATTGATTGATTGATTGATTGATTGATCGATCGATAGACAAGAAACTCTGTGTTTATGTTTATATGTAAGCAGATTGTAGGCCAACAATTAGTCATTTTAATGTTGAACTAAACGAGTTTGCTGCTTATTAAATATCTTTCGAGCTTATTCGATATTGAACTACATCATTTGCATCGTGATCAAGGAGGTAGAGACAACACGAAGCGATAAGAGTTGGTGCTGACAATCATAGTTAAAAAATTTCAAGGAACTATCGAATAATAATTGCATTCCAAATAAGAAATTCAAAATAAGATTGTTATTATAGCTAATGATGCATCGATTGAATGCCAGTTTGAACGTGAAGTTCGATCATCGCGATGAATCCGACATTAATCATGTGAATTTATTTACAATTTATAACCTTGCCAACAATGTTCAAATAAGGGAACAAACATGTTGGAGCTAAATGTGATTCCAAGGGACAATACATGATAAAAACGAAGAGGTGCGTTTACCTTATACGTGAGCCAAAACCAAACTAAATCTACAGAAAATAAAATAAAATCTAGAATGTAATAAGTCGTTTCTGTAATACCATACATTCAAAGTGCGATATAAATCATATTTTTGGTATGTGTGGTGCGCGCGCGCGCGTGTGTGTGTCTGTGTCTGTATACATATCCATATACTCTGCATTGTACATCAGGTTCTTTAATTCTCTATGATATTAATATGTGATCGGCTTTGTGATAAGCAATCACGATTTTCATCACAGTATTATGAGATTAGATTTGCTATGGCGTCTTGTCAGATCACAAAAAGACACATCGATATACAATGCTTTGTGTCCAAGTCTTCAAATTAATAAAATTATTGAGGAAATTAGAAACATTATCATATGAGAAATCTCTTTGTGATTGAAATAGGTTACAATAAAATTTGTCAGATCTTTGTTATTCGCTTTAGTCTGTTCACGCTGTAACAGATACTATCCACCTATTATTACCTTCGTTTTCAGCATGTATCGTCAGCAAGTAGTCATTCCGAATGATTTTTTATACGGAAAGTATGAATTCTAAAATGACGACACATCTGACGTACCTATAAAAAAAAAAAGAAAAGACAAACAATTAATATCGCAAACGAAATTTTAAATACATTTAATACGCGATCAACGATAAAACGTTAACAGTGTGAAATTAATGCTTAAGTATGCAAAGATTCGCTTAAAAATATACAGGCACACATGATATATACATTCGTCGCGCAATGGACATACGCATTGAACTCCCAGTGCGTATAGATGACTGAACAATACTTACGACACACGAGCCATAATGTACGTGCGTTGCTAAAGCAATTGCAGCCAATAAGTACAGTAGTTGCAGATCTAGAGAAGGTAAAAGGTAAGCAAGACACGCTGTACAAAAGACAGGAAGAAGTATCCACGGCAATATTTCACACCTAGTATTACTCATTTGCGCAACTATTAAACGACACTGAAAAAGAAAAATTAATAAATCCATGAGATTGTGATTGCACGCGTTGATTAGAATATGTAATAATGAAAAAGTTATGTTACACATATATTGGAAAATACTGTTCCAATGGCAAAATAAATAATTCGAGGATCTTGATCGATTATTTTATTAGGAGAGTGCATCACCCAAGTAGTTGCGATCGCAAAAAGTATGGTTAACGGTATTAGTGGTCTTAGCGCTTCAGGCAACGTTCGCATCTTTCCAGTCTTGTCTCTATACGATCTAAGAGACACGGGATGCTCGTTAGAAGCATTTATAAACAACGAACCAGTCGCATTAAGCTACTCGTGTAAATAGAAATTTCACTCACTTGTAAATATTCCACAAGACAACGGGCAGGTTAGACACTAGCGCGCTAACGTACAAAAGCATTTCAAACATCGAGCCAGCGGAGATTCCACCAGGCAAGTCAAACTTCCACGCCGAGTGTCCGGCGACGCTCGTTAAGACAAAGACCACGATGGTCGCCACCATCGACACGTCGTATCCCCATGGCAAGAACAGCACACCCGTATTGTACTTCTCCCAATGACTCAGGTAAAAGTTCACAAACACGTTCCATAAAATGAAATACATCCTCAGGGGCGACACGCTGTGCTCTGTCCTACCAAACACCGAATATATGCAACTGGTTATTAACACAGCTGTCCAACTGTCGAGACCATGATCGAAGAGCTCTCCCAGGGGTCCCGACGTTTGCGTTCTCCTAGCCTGCTTGCCGTCGATTCCATCTGCAAATGTCATTAGTCCCGCAGCTCAAAAATTAGATCGATGACACACTCGCTCGTCTCACTTACCAAGCGTATAAGCCATGAATATATTAAACGCAGCCATCGCAAAAAACCACTTTGGAATGGCAGGATACTGAGGATGATCGTCGCTCGACGCAAAGAAATAATAATCATACATGGCAAACATAATAAAGTTAACGACCGTGAACAGGAAGCCCGCGTACGTTAATGCGTTTGGTGCGACCCATTTTGGACAGTACTGCAATGTAGCAAAGATAATCATTAGTCAGCCATCGACCTCGACAACGTCGAGCAATAATCCACTTACCTGGATCACCCTATCCCAAAACGGGTGCATAACATATAAACTGAGCGGGCTCGTATCCAGCGAGTTGTACTGTAACGGACAAGTTGCGCATTAATACAACAATTAATCAACGCTTGCGTCGCCCCTCTCCCATCCCTTAACAATCCATCATTAATTAACAATAATCATTTACTTTGTAATTCTCGAAGCCCGACAGGTGCTCCTGCGACAAATACTCCATCTCCAAAATCATCGTCAACAAAATTACGTCCTCTTCATCCGAATCGAGATTATTAGAGCGGCCAACCGCGATCAATCGTGACTAGCTGCGGGCTCCCGCTCGCGGCCGTAGGCCCCGGGATAATCAGCCGAAAACGGAGTCCACCAATGACTCGGTCGTCGCTACGGACTTGACTCGCTCTGGCCGATACGGCAACGAGCCGAGAGCGCACGTGTCTCGGCCTGACGAGGTACGCTAACACGATGTCGTGACGATGAGTCTGCCGTTTTACTCTCCTTCTCCGTCCGCTCGGTGGTGGTCCACCACACCTCTCCTTTCCTCGGCCTCAACGCACCTACGACTCCGGCCGCCGAGATATCCAGCCCCGCGCCGCCTCCCTCATTGCTTCCACGGCAATCTAAACTAGGCTATAATATAATAATAATAACCTTGGCCACCGCCACCGCGATCAACACTGGCGCGCGCACCACTAGCGGCATTCACCAAGTCGATCGCGATCCGTCTTATAACCTGGCCTCGTATCAACCCCCGAACCTACCCGCGAAGCTACCCACAATGCTATCCCCGAAGTAACCAACGAGGTTGCCGTTAATAGTACTGGCTGGCTCTGAGACTCGATGTAGTGGTACCGCCGGTGTCCGTGTGTCCTCCTCCTCCGTTTTCACGTTGTCGTTGGGAAGGAGCGCGTTAGGGGCGCTGCACGACGAGGCCGAGAAGGCCCGTGGCTCGTAATCGCTCTCTGCTCCCTTGTCCCTCACCCTCAACCGTTCCCGCTCGACACCACACCACCACCACCACACAAACCGGCAATACAAAAACCCAAGCACCCTCCGCCCCTCGTGTCCCGCACAACCGCACGGCTCGCGCCCTCGTCCTACCCCAAGGCTTTATGTATGCGCGCGCGCGCTACCCCTCTCGCCCCGCCAGTCGCGCTATCGGATGGGCGGACGGACGCGCACGTGCGCATGAAAAGTGTCGCTGCCGACGTCGACGCTCGAAAGTCGTTTGAACGATCAGGCGACGTCCGGAGACTCCTATGCCAGTTAAACTTGACGCTTCTTTTCAAAATAGAGAGAATCCGCGCCGCTGGATACCTTCAATACTCATATCATTTGACTGCATATCTATATAAGAGCCCTACTTAACGAGCATAGCTACTCCACGGACGATATATCTGCTTCTTTCTCTACGGTCGCGCGCTTCTTCCGCCTCTCCCCCCCCCCCCCCC